CTCGAAGTCAACTGGTGTACTCTAGCATTCATATCTCCTGCTAAAATCACGATATCAGCCCGGGTCGCTTTACGCAAGAGGTCGTGTAGATTGTGGTAAAATTGATCTTTTACTGCATCCGGGCTGCTGTCTGTTGGAGCGTACGCCGATACGACAAAAATGTTTCGTCTACCGTGGCGACGGCTGCTTACCTTGCAGGAACCTCTGAGTCTCACGGCGCACAACCCACTGTCGACGAGGATCCACTCCAAGAGAGCGGCCTCAGCTCTCTCACTGAGAGCTACGCCGACGCCAGCAAGACCGGAAGCCACAGCCTCAGTGTCTCCAGAGAGGCGTAAATGAAAATTCACAGATTGGTTATATGGGGCGTCAATCGGATAACGGAACTGGAGTCTTGAATGCGAGTTTCTTGGATGCAACACACATCGATGGCTTGGGTTTTGAGCGTACGAGCTTGAAGGCCTGTTGTCCTATACGCATTGGNATTGGAGCACACATATTAAACGTGGCTAGTTTGAAAGGGCGTCGAGGGCGGAGAAGGGCTTCAGCTGATGGAGGATTCGGTGAAACGTGGACAGCAGTCGAGGAAGGACAAGAGCGAACAGCGGCAGAATTTCCGCCCGAGACACTACTGTTAGTAAGATCGTCTAAAGTACCCGAGAGAGATGGAATAGAGTTGGGAGGGTAGAGGTGGGATGAGGGGAGGCTGAAGAACAAAAGGGTGTGTACGGCGTAGCAAGTCTTTCGATTGTTGAGGGTTTAGACTGCGAAATTATGAAACCGAGAACGTTCATAGTCGTCTGCGTGGTAATCTATGATAATCTATGAAATTAATTATCTAGAAAAATAGTATAGATGGATGATCGTGGAGAGAAGGAAGGAACATGTCACAGCTATAGCTTTCGTGTTTACGAAGTAAACAGGAGTGAAAAGATGACATTGCCACGTTTTGTTGTTAATCTCACAGTTCTCCTCCCAACCCCCAGGTCTCATCCCATCATATTAACTTTAACCGTGTGATTGTGAGTTATTAAAAACAGCTGTTTGCCAGAAATTGTGTTCTAAATGACAGTAATAACAGTTTCGTATTCCTCTTTATCTTTACATATATCCGACTTAAAATTAGGCTTTTCCCGAAGTTAACACAGTGGTCAGAATTATACCAAATAAGTTTTTATTATGTTGTTTTCAGGCTTTTTGGTACATTTTCTTTTACTTGGGCATTCGTGTGAAAAATCTTCCCTCAGATATTCTCAGTCTTTGCATAGTAAACAATTATTAGAGGGCAGTAGTTCAGATCAACTAGTAAAACTTAAATTTACCGTCTACGTTTTATAATTTGTTTTTGGCTTATTCTGAAATAGATGAACAGACACAAATGAAATCAATGTTTCAGTAATTGAACTCTTTCTTAGACAGTCCTGTATGACCTGTGCAAAGGAGTGCGCTATGAACTATTTGTAAGACTTCGAAAGCATCAGACCTTGAGGTGAATTCAATCGATCAGAACAATACTGCTCTGTTATTGAAAAGTCTAATGCTATCCAAATCTGCTTGTTAGAGTTAAGATATGCTGGTGTCGATGTACTCTGTCGTGCTTTCATCACCGTCGATTGATTTATAATGTGTTTTCCCTAATTTCAGACAGGCACCTTAACGGAAGATGGTCTGGATCTGTGGGGCGTGGTCCCAGCTTTGGCTGGAGGGTTCGGTGAACCTCTGCATGAACCGGCCAAGCTAGATCGTGGTCCTCTGTTGGAATGCATGGCAACATGCCATTCTCTGACTCGAATTGAAGGTGTTTTGTCGGGTGATCCGCTGGATTTGAAAATGTTTCAATCAACGAATTGGGTAAGATTCATCGCTCAATTAACAACTTCCTTTTCTGTTTACGATTTTACAGCCTCCAGTAATTTTACTATCAATCAGTGACGACTGTGATAGTTGATATTTTTTGAGAAAGTCCATTCGGTGTGCGCTGGAACTGAAATTATCGGATGCTTTTGTTCATGTTCATTTAACATGTATCGAGTGGAAGTTGACTATCAACTCTAAGCAGTTGGACACCATCTTGGACAAATGGTTTTATTAATTTAAAATATCAGGTTTGAACGGTGTCATTCGGATCCCCACAGCTACCAGGTAGTGTGTATTCTCTTAATATGTTGTGAATATGGCTTTTATTCCGTTGAAGTTCATTTTTCTAGTGTGAGAAATATATGCCATTGACTTAATGTGTGATGGATGACAGATCACTGGATAGCTGTTTCGTCCTTGTTGAGACTCGCCATCCGTGCGTACTTGAAGTACCCCATGGGAACCTGGACTGCAGACGCTATTGACCTTATGGAACAGGGGTTAGTCTAGATGAGTAATCAACGCATCGAGCGACAGCATTACCACCAAGAGTCGCTGGCCATATACATGGCTGATTTTGTGGGCTTTAGTAATCAAACCCATTATGATCCATGCGACATAGTCCTCTGCCTAACGTTATATATATATATATATATATATATATATATATTCACTGGTATCAACTGGTTTTCTTTCTCCTGACCCTAATCCGGATCCATTTCGACTAGTACCGATAGTCGAGTAGGTGTTTTAATACCATATGCAAAACGGGCTTAATTCCAAGTAAGGTTGTGAGTTGTAAGCACGTGCAGCATTATTTTAATGACACCGAATACGCTTAGCCTCATACTGTCTACTACAAAAGTTATTCAATTTCCGAAAGAATGCCACATGCGGTTTGTATCAAGGTGACAATTGAATATGCTACCACTGGCATATTAAGCTTTTATTTACCGATAACTTCCTCCATCTTGAATTCCTTGAAGAAACTGGTTTTGATATTTTTATCAGGTTTAATTGTTTTAATTGTTTAATCGTTGATTATTATTCCAGTTTAACTTTGAATTTTTCTCCGAATAACAAAACCTTTCAGGAATTTATGGAGCAAGTGGAGGAAGATCATCGGAAGTTTGCCATGGCAGTCCTTTCAGTGGTTCGACCAATGCGAGAGATATTGACCAGTGAATTTACTTGTATATTGGACGCCTCTCCAGAAGTGAGTTATACCACCGAGGATGCTGAACATAACTTAGCTTCTGATATGGTTCAGTGAATCATGATATTAGCTAATTTTTCACGCTAACAAAATGACCCTAGCCATGTAATGAAGTTCGTGCTACAAGAATAATAGCGAATTAAACTGAACCTGCCCTATGCTGACTCTTTTTCTCCATTTGCGTATTTACTCTCTGGGGGGAGCCATTGTTGTTTGAAAATAATGAAATCCGTTATTCACTGATTGTACTCACTAGCTAATCCAAAATATCACTGGGAACTTAGGAGGAACGTTGAATTCCAGCACATCTTTTACATATTGGGAAAGACTTATCCTCTCATTATCATTTTCAAGGAACTGAAGTAAAACAAACTTGACACATTTCTGTAAAGTTTAATTATGTGCCAGAAATGTCACCGATCTGGGATTGGGAGTAAAACCGTAAGAAGTACAATAGACAGATTAAATTATCATTTTGTACTAAGTCGTGCTTGACTCGGTAAATTGAATGGAACGATGAGTCAGTTATCAAAAATGTGCTGAAATCAGTAGGCTAGCATTGATTCCTGTCATTAGGTAATAGAATGTACCCAGCGTGTGCAAAAGTGAATGCGTGACGGAAAGTGCATCCTATACATTCTTGGATTTTCTGTGATCTACACTGTAAGGAAGAAGGATAATCCTTTGAGAAACCTCTGAGTGAACATGTGAAAATATATCGTATCATATGAACACCAACACTTATATTGCACTTGTTTTAAAACATGTGAGAAAGTCATGCCAGGCAGAACCTCAGTGTAGCTACCAATCTCATTCATGCACGGAAACCCGATCTTGAAACCTTGTTCTCTTACTTTAAGACAACTGGCCTTTTAGGGGTGGGGGTGGGTGGGGATAAACCGGCTTCATAAAGGTCATGATAATTCATAAGAGATTGGTTTAGAATCCGTTCCCAGCGTCATTCGGTGCACATCTAAACTGAGCAACCTCCGGTGAATAGCGCCTTTATGCACAGTGAATTCATAGTTGCCCACCAAATATAGATTCAGACGCATTTCCGGATTCCTTGCATCTACATTATTAAGGCAAAATTTACTAAAGGCCATTGGATCCTAATTTAGATTCTGCTTGGTGAGCTGTTTTCCCGAGTGGTCACTTGTGCATGACTCAACGTCTTGAAACCACATATGAACCGTGAGATGGAAGGTACCCTTAGAAAAAACATCATTCTACTAAACCAGAGGTGCGACTCCAAACACCCGGATTTTTTATTTTTAAATACTGTGCGTCATTAATTTTGCCCAATTGAGATTGTTCGAAGTACCACCATATCCACAATTCGGGTAACTTCCTCAATCTTTTTTAATGCTGCAGCGCACCCTTAGAAAGGGACTAGCTTTTGAATTTTCTCGTGCTACTGTCGTTATCCGCTTACAAATTATCTTTCAGAGTAAACCAGATAACAAACCAAGCTGAGAATCTGTTATTCTGTTTACATGCTCTGCTTTTTGACAATAACCGTTTAATGTTTTACAATACAACTATCAATAGTTCATGCCCCAGGGTTCACTATTTGCACGTTATTTTTATCAGTTTTTTTCCCTAAAAATATCTTCGTTTCTTATTCTATCTGTATCATATCAAATTGTAATAGATAAAATCTTAATGAAAAGTTTTCCGTTGTACACAAAGTATCAAAAGCTATCTGTGTTAAGTTCACTAGAGCTAGGAATATCTACCCACCGGGTGTTACCCATTATAGGCTTATTTCTCTCGCAAAGTTCATCCAAAATTGTAACCTTTATATGAAAATAAGATATTTGTAGCCTCTTCAGTCTCTGTCATTTACAAAGTACTGCTCACGGTATCTAGGTCGAGCATCCAATTGACAAGCATGTTCCTCAGATATTTTGTACGAAATGTTCTCACGCAACACCAGAACATCGTCCTCATGCTGTGTACTGGTTTCAAAAATAGTCAGGCGTTTCGTTTCGGGACTGCTCAAGCGCTGAACTGGGTCAGCTCATTGTTAATGTCATCATTATCATAAATGTTATTCTTATGTATATTTTAAATATTCACTTTGTTTTCTTTAACCTCTTGTTTCACACGACCAATCGGATTAAATTTTATTTGGAGTTATAGTTTTTCATAGTGTGAAACAGACTCACGAACGTGGTTGGAAATAACTGATATACGAGTTCAGTTAAACCATTGAAAATATATCTTCACTTTTTGTCACCTATTTCAGAGTTTATTGCATGACATATTTTCTCTCTGCACATTGATAATAAGAAAAGTAACTGGCGCGAACCAAAACGAATGTGCTAACACGAAGCGAAATACAAATGTCAGTCCTGATCCAAAAAGACTCATTCAACGGATCTCAGGTGATGGTCTAAACCTAAACCATTTCCTCTGCACCTTCGAATTGCAAGGTTTTGTTGCAAGATTGGCAGGAACCTGCTCCTACACTTTCATTGTGTAACTACATTCTAGAAGTGGATTGGTGACTGCAACATCTCTGGTGCCGGTGTGACATATCCCTTTCACTGAAAGCGCACGTGTATTGCGCAACTGTATGCGCCGTGTGGCTCTACGGCGGCGAAACTTGGCCTTCGATCAGATCATGCACAATGACTTTTTATCTCCGACATCCGTTGTCTACGCAGCATCACCCGTATATGATAAGAGCATCGCATGAGTACGACACTTGTTAGGGTCAAATAGTCTTCAGCTGAGCAAAACCATTTCACTGCATCGTCTGAGGTGGCTAAGACATACCCTACAATTGTCTGTACAACGTCTGCCACACCGAGAAATATTCGCAGACATTGGTCCGGGCTGGGAGAAACAACGACGTGTGTAGACTATGACTTGGGACTATGACTTGGCTTAGAGGGTTAAAGAGATTGTGCTCGGATCTAGCTTCCATTGAGGATTCCCGGTTCCCCAGTTGAGGCTCGAGGATTCAGCTTGTGTTTTAGCTGGAGACCGTTTGGGATATGGCAACGAACCGAAGTCAGTGACGGAAATGCACCCTTTTTTGCATCAAATATCAAAGGTGACATAAACAAAAATAAGTCAAAATAGCATGCATTAAACAAGAAACGAAAAATTTGCCATCTCCATAATTGATTATGTTTGTTTTCTCTTTTCTGTTTGCGTAATTTTCTTTCAACCCGTGGTTATTTTGGCGCCGTATCTGT